GACACGCTAATTTTTTTATAAAACCTGTAACGAGCAAACCATATTTATACAATTAAATCGGAGATACGGGTGCCCTATATTAATCACTATATTTTTCACTGATGAATATTTTGTAGTGACATGATTAAGCAAAGTTGATCAGAATTAAACAAGGTGTCAACTGACCAAAGGTCAAGGTCATCGTGTGAGAGGTCAAGGGTCACTGGGTCAAAGGTCTAGGTCATTTTTTGTAGCTTTTCACTAATGAGCATTTTACGACATTACGAAGCAAAATTGGTCGGAATTAAACAAAGAGTCAACTGACCAAAGGTCAAGATCACTGGGTCAAATGCCAAGGTCAAATTTTGTATCATTTCATTAATGAACATTTTGTTATGACACTACGAAGCAATGTTGGTCAGAATTAAATAGGGAGTCAACTGACTAAAGGTCAAGGTAATTGAGTATTTTTTTTTTTTTTTTTTTTTTTTTTTTTTTAATGGTGAATATTTCGTTATGACATTATGAAGCAAAGTCGGTCGAAATTTTAACACAGAGTCAACTGACTTAAGGTCAAGTTCACTGGGTCAATGTCAAGGTCAACTATTGTATCTGTTAAGTGATGAACATTTTTTTTTGTTATTATGAAGCAAAGTTGTTTAGATTTTAATATGGAGTCAACTGACAAAAGGTTCAGGTTTCGGGGTCCAAAGGTTCAAGGTCAAGTTTTGTATTTTTTACTTATGAACATTTTGTTATGATATTATGAAGCAAAGTTGGTCGGAATTAAAGAATAAGTCAACTGACCAAAGATCAGGGTCACTGGGTTAAAAGTCAATGTCATTTGGGTCTAAAAGGTCAAAGACAAAGTGGATCTCTGACTTTGACCATGGCTCTTGATGGGGGAGGTATTTAAGGTGAAATAAAACAAATCAAAGCTAACAAATGAGTATTGCACCGGTATTTACATTTCCGTAGCGCCGCAAATATGGAGGTGGAAGGAAACAAGACTCACATCATAGTACATGAAAAACGTATGTTTTGCTTCTTTGAGATTCCTTTTGAAGTCCAAATGTCAAACGTCAAGCTCAGCTATATGGGCAGATTGCTTCTTCATGATTAGTGTTCTAGTTTTATAATATATTTAAATATCTGATGTAAGATGTATAGGAGTCGAATCTCAACCTACTGCCACACCGGAAGCTCTAACGCCGTCATGGTTTAGGATCAAATGTCCTTTAGGTCACCTCTTGGTGTAATTTCATTCCTTTTGATTATATTTGAACAATCATTCTGGCAAAGACATTTTTGGAAATGTGAGTGTCGAGTGCCAGAGAGTGGTTACACCAAAGAGAACTGCTTATAGCAATGAAGCGTACATGGGAAAGGAAATAGTAAGGACGTCCTACAGCACTATCCGACAGTCGTGTTTTGTACATACCATAACATTAGTATCCTTTTGGATATAACTGTAGTACGGATTTTTTATGTTTGTATTGTTTTACGGCCCATCGAAAATTCGAGTCATTAAGGGCCAAACAAATGATGCAAAAATACAGACATTCACAAAAATGAATACATCAAACTAGAAATAAAAATGTCAAAATGTGTAAAAAACAAATGTCAATATTTTTATCAATAGCAAACGGATTGGTTTTAAAATATATCATATCTTGTTTAGAGATTAGTTGAATGTAAATGAGTACAAGACGAAGCTTACAGTACACTATTAGGAGTTAAACACTCAGAAACCTATTTTTGTTTTCTTCATTGTTATTGCATACATATATATATCTATTTAAGCTGCACAAGGCATGGTTTCTTTTTAGATATGAATTAAAAATGCTGTAGCCAGCCGAAAACACAGTTTCAAATGTATAGTTAAGGAAGTAGTACGGTCAGCTAAGCATAAGGGTATTGAGAAACACGTGTTTTAAATATCAACACGAACATGGTCATTCAGACCCCCCGCATAGGCAAGATAGTGCTGGACATATGCTGCAGAAACGACAAATTTTGCATCTTCATGCATTTTGTTTGTGGTAACAGGAAAATATCGAAAATGAAAACTTACTGATAGCAACTAGATTGATGTAAAAATGTGAATAGATCGTTTGACGAAGTTGTCTTGATCTGTTATGAGATATATCTTGGAAATAACGAATTTCTGGATAACTGGATTTATGTAATAAGGAAGTTTTGCAAATTATCCTTAAGAGTTTTTGAGATTTGCGGAAACAACAAATTTTGGATTTCTGACCAATCAAAAATGAAAACTCTTCAATATCAACAAGCATCACGAGACTACTTAAGTTTTCTAGCTTAGTTTGAACATATTTTATTGCCATAGTAAAACAGAATGATTAGGCATACGTTTCGTGAACATCATAAGCGCCCCTTACTTCTACTTTTAATGATGTGCATTCAAAGTTTTATAAAGTTATCTTAATCAGTTTTGGAGTTATAGCCCGGAAACGCTACCGAACAGACGCACGTTTGTTATGAAATGTAATTATTATCAAGCTTACTGATTATAGAAATCTGGATTAAGGCTATTTGAATGTAATCAAATGTGTACCAAATCCACTGGTGTCTGATAAAGGATAACCGAATTAGCGGAGGATGGGAAAAAGAATCTGTGCCATGAACCATATTTATTCGATGTGATCCACAAACTAAAAACACTAAACGACCAGCGATCTCAGTGTTATATCTACACATGTATAGCAATATCGTACAGAACATCATAACAGGTCACCGAGCCCGGAAAGACGGCCTATTTCTGGTGAGTAGGTAACAGTGGATGATCACACGTGTCCATTACCCTGGCCGCGTGCCTGGGAGCTGCCATGTTGACGTCCCCACAATGGAAGCTCTTTACGTCACACGTGGCCGAACGCTTCCCACGATAGAAGGTAGATATTACCAGTCTACTTCACAGGGACTAGATAATACGTCTTCTGTACATAACCAACGTGCCAGAACCCTGTGATTTTATTTTTCACGGCCAGACCAAATACATGTACATTGTAAAAGTACTGTATGTCAGCCAGACATGCGCAATCACGTATCAAAGAGCTTTCTGACATGTCGGTCGTCAAATGTATTGAATATTTCATAATGTACAATATTCATTTGGCCCTGATCGGTCGGTCACTCTATAAAGAGTTCGAACTATGAACGAGATTAAACATTTACTAACTCTGATCGGTCGCCAGGGTTTATTCGAACCATGAGCATGTTCGACAGTAACTTTTCTAGGTTGAACCTCTCCAGCGCTGTATGTGTTGTGTTTCCAACGGAGAAGATTCCCAATTAACTACATACAGCAAAGGTACACAAAGATAAGAAATACATCATTTTATAGGAATATTAATAGTAAAAACAAAATAAAATAAAGACAAAAACAGAACAAAAAATAAAAAATTGTCTCCCCTACCAGCATTCGAACGCTGGCATCACTTGGCGTCAGTGAGGTTATCCAATGTAATACCAGTCAAGATACCTGTTATGTTAATGCATTTATGCTCCAGAATTACTGGAATCATTTCAAAACTATCCAAAACACCAACATCCTAAAGATATCTTCGTTTGAAATGTCTCCGTGTCGGAATACAGTAGAAAAGTGGAGGAGGCGCTCTCCCCCTTAAGATTATTTAAGTCATCCACATATATTTTATATATCACTCGTCTGATTGGTTGTCAAGTCGATCGAAAGTTGAAATTTCTGCAGATGTCTATCCGCCCTGTTGCATCCTCAATATATCTGAGAGCTAATCCATGAACACATTTAGAACTTAAATTGACCGACACGAAACACAGATATTATCAATTAAGATTAAGGGCTTGTCACACACTACCAATGTACCTCGACGGGACTAAACCGGAACAAAAACTAAACAACGCAGAGCTCCGGCGAGAAAGCATTAGAATAAGTGACCGAAGTAATACCGATATAGAACCGGCGTTCCCGTTACCTTGGTGTTACCGATGTAGTACCGGCGTTCCCGTTACCTTGGTGTTACCGATGTAGTACCGGCGTTCCCGTTACCTTGGTGTTACCGATGTAGTACCGGCGTTCCCGTTACCTTGGTGTTACCGATGTAGTACCGGCGTTCCCGTTACCTTGGTGTTACCGATGTAGTACCGGCGTTCCCGTTACCTTGGTGTTACCGATGTAGTACCGGCGTTCCCGTTACCTTGGTGTTACCGATGTAGTACCGGCGTTCCCGTTACCTTGGTGTTACCGATGTAGTACCGGCGTTCCCGTTACCTTGGTGTTACCGATGTAGTACCGGCGTTCCCGTTACCTTGGTGTTACCGATGTAGTACCGGCGTTCCCGTTACCTTGGTGTTACCGATGTAGTACCGGCGTTCCCGTTACCTTGGTGTTACCGATGTAGTACCGGCGTTCCCGTTACCTTGGTGTTACCGATGTAGTACCGGCGTTCCCGTTACCTTGGTGTTACCGATGTAGTACCGGCGTTCCCGTTACCTTGGTGTTACCGATGTAGTACCGGCGTTCCCGTTACCTTGGTGTTACCGATGTAGTACCGGCGTTCCCGTTACCTTGGTGTTACCGATGTAGTACCGGCGTTCCCGTTACCTTGGTGTTACCGATGTAGTACCGGCGTTCCCGTTACCTTGGTGTTACCGATGTAGTACCGGCGTTCCCGTTGTGATACCGTTGTGATACCGAATACAACTTTTCTGTTACCTTAGTGTTAGCGATGCGTCGCCGATGTTATACCAATGCATCAATACTACTTCGGTGGTATTCGGTAGTACAACGATTTGTTTCAAAAATATCAGTTTGAAGAGCGAATCAGGCGCGGGTCGCTTATTTCCCGCATATTATAGAGGGCCGGAGTTCTGACGTTAATCGACGACAGACCGATATAAACAAAAGTCGATGAAACGTCAGAATAATTCGGACTACGGCGACCCAAATCGGCCAGGTGTGACAGGCCCTTTACATCTACACAGAAAAGGTTAAGAAAAAGCCTTTGTTAAATTTCCACAAAATACTTTAATTCCAAATATACTTGAATATATACATTGGATAATATTCCATACATTTTTAGTATGTCATCGTTTATCTGTCAGTGAAAACGATTTTTTAAAGCTAGAAGGCACAAGAAAGGCGTTTTAATTATTTGCTATTTAAATGCACGTTCTTTACAAAAATAAATGGAAATGATGAACATCTGAACAAAATCGAGTGAAGGTGAAAACGTAACGTCTGATAGACGATAGCGACAGGGAAACCAGAAAATCACCACGTTGTCTACAGATAAATGGAATCGTTCATACTAGTTACACAAGTTCTGCTCGTTGGTTGGTAACTTAGAACACGTGATCATGTTATTCTCGTGACAGGTGCAGTAGTTTACTCCATCCGTGTGTCTGAATTGCTGTTTAACTGTTTGCACCTTGCCACCATGGACGCACTGACCTGTCGAAATAGTTAAAAGAATATTCTTAAAAAAATATGCTATAAGTACTTACTCTAGTTGCTTGAGTTTAAACAAGCACTTTCTTAAGCACCATACCAGCGGAACCGATTTTCCTTGTAAGTACAATAAGCTGCATATTATAACATGCAGTGGGATGTTGCAGGCAATCTCTTTCCCTGAAATACAGGGGTTTACTGCAGACTTTCTCTATAAGCGTCCTCAGGATATATCAACATCCTCAAAAACTGCAGTTTACTTATGTACTTGTTATTACCTGGCCTTCCCCAATAGAGCGATTGTTAATTCTAAGGCCATCGTTGAGGTATAGTTATGGAAAACGATAGGAAACGTTTGCTAAAATATTTAAACTAAAATATCGCAATGGGTGCAGCAGAAATAAGTTTGTCTTCGCTCCTACATTTTCCAAAGTAGAGATATAAACGCAATTCTAAATTATGTCGGAGTTCCCACAGCAGCTACTTCAATCTGTAGTGGGTAACAGCAGGTGTATTCCTTTCTCAAACCTTTACCTACAGGGCATTATTTTTGTTGAGGCAATAATTCTTAGATGAGACGTGTCCCGTTGCCTGTACTGTTTTAACTTCATGGTCAAGAAGCGATCATTTATGAATAGTTTGTTTGGAGTTTAACGTCCACGCTATATGACGACGGTGCATGTAGGGTCTACTACGGTAAATACGGACACTCTTGACTTAACTCCTATAAACTCTCCTAATTAGCCTGCTTGACTGACTTGAATGCATGCTACTGAAACGCATGTTTACAAATCGTACTTTCTGTTAAGTCCCAGATGTTATCTCTAGGGGACAATAAAATTAAAAACGGCATTTTTCCGGACCTTTCGACGAAAATTGCCGCCTGCGAAGTTTTTAACTTAATAGTACTCCATTATATTGGAACAAATACAAGGTGTCTTGATTCAATGATACTGCTGTTGTTTCACAAAATTTGTATCAATTCAATTAATTAATTTTAATGCATTAATTATAGACAAAATATACAAATAAAGCGTCGTATGTGCATGAATCGAAAATTACAAAGGTAATGTAAATACGGACACCTATTTAATTAGATAAAGAATGAAAGCACATGCATTTAATGGTTATATAAATTATATTTTATGATGATATTGTTGAAATACCCCGAAATCTAGATATGCAAATCATAATTTTGAAAATATGGAGAAGGTGGTAGCGGCAGTGAGAGGAGGAATGTCAGTGAGGCAGGCGTCCCTTAAATTTAGTATTCCTTAGTCGACCCTTGGAGATTAAATATCAGGTGAAAAAGGATAAGCCAACTTTGTCGTTCAGAAAAAAAATATCTGGCTTCAAGAACACAACTCACTCTTTACATATATGGCATTCCATGAAACACGCTATCATTGAAAAAGCCGGAGAAACTGGGTACTGTAAGAGCCAGCATGATGAATCACGTGGTTAAGGACTTTAAGGCATGACGTTGCTGGTTAAGGAAAAGGAATCGTCAGTGACAGGACCAGCAACAAAACGTAAAACATTACAATAATGAGGTGCGTCAGCGCGGCAGGAAATCGAATGCCGCCAATGGTTATTGGCAGGGGTAAAACTTCAAAATCATCATTTGGGTATAACACAAAGGAGGCGCCAGTTGGAACTCTGTGGTCTTTCCATGACGAACAATGACATATGTGAACAATCGTCCGCAGAGGTATTCTTGGTTAACTGTGGAGAGGACATGCCCCCAAATAGTATTGTTGGACGGCCAAGGGTCACATAAAAAAATTGGCTTTATTGAAGTAGACAGAAGAGGATAATATATACATTTTGGCTCTACCCCCTCACACCACTCATTATCTTCAGCCACTAGACAAATCAGTATTTGGTCGATTAAATAAGTTTGGTTTGGTTTAGTATTGTTTAACGAGTCCTATAAACAGCTATGGTCATTTAAGGACGGCCTCCCCTGTGTGCAAGATGCATGCGTGTAGTGTATGCGTGGTTTCTTTTGGGAGGCTGCGATATGTTTGTGTTTGTCTCCTTGTGATAGCGCGGAACTGATGCCGACTTGATAGTGCTACCTCATTGTTACATACTGCCGAAGACACCCAGCAGGACACCCCACCCGGTCACATTATACTTACAACGGGCGAACCAGTCGTCACACTTCAAAATTGCTGAGCGTTAAGCAGGAGTTGGAACTACCATTATTACAGACTCTGGCATGTCTCGGCCAGGGGACAAAACCCAAAGCCTTTCTCACATGGACAAACGCTCAACTATTGGCCAAAGGTGAGGCAATGTTAAGGGTGACATTAGGAAGTAGAAAGTTGTTTAGAAAGCAGAGAAAAGATAAGATCCCACATTTAGTCGCCTCTTACGATTTTTTACGCTCTAGCTGTAGGGACTAGGTATATTAGGTGAGAACTATTGAATGTGAAATCGGTGCTATTTCCCCGAGGTTTGTTTAAGAATGTGCGAGTTATTTCCCCACCACTACGGCAAACTTCATTAATGAAGATTTCAGTATACTGTTTTTGTTTTGTTTTGCTATATTGGAAGCAACAGTGTATGGCCAATGTGTATTTCTAAATCTCTTCTGCAGAAAGTTCAAATAAAAAGAGTTCAAATTAATTTGTTAGGGAAAATTGTGATCAAGACAAGACATGAATAGCCCCAACACAAAACCAAAACAAAACATACATGTAAATGCCACAGATATTAGATCATCCTGAATATGTACACACATCTGGTAAAGCCGTCTGAAATCATTTGTTTTAAAATGCGTGTAAAGGACAAGATACGATCGTTTGCTACCCCATAAAATAGAAAATAGTTTGTTTAGCAGCTCAAAAACATAAAAATGACCTTCTCGTGTAATGAAGTGTTTTTTTTCATTAATCTCATTGATAACATAAATACAGATTAACAGATCAGAAGAACTATAAAGCTTTACAAGCATTATCAAAGAGAATAATCTTTTAAAAAATGGCAATTCGTTATTTTCTTCTTCAGCGTTTAGCACTAAGGGTAATTGCAACAACTGGTTAACCAGTTGTCAGTATAATGTGAGAGAGCGGAATGCTGTGCTCAGAACCTTCGGCATGGTATCAGTGACGTAGAACTGATATCATATCTGTGCTGTTGCAAGGAGGCATATACACAATCATATCCTCCCTTCGGCACAGGTACACGAAACCATAACGCCCCCGAATAAATAGTTTTATTGTGTTGAGAGAAAACTTTACAGTGAAATTAATCTAATGACGTGTCGCTATTTAATGTGTTCTGGAGGCGGTATCTTGGTGTATTTGAGGTTGGGATCGGGCAGATCTAATGCCGAATTTAGAGTGCTAACTCACTAAAATACCGTGCCGAAGAGAAAATAAGTAAAAGTTCACACTCACCTGGGCAAAATTGGCAGTTACTTTGGTTTATGATTGATGGTGGCTGGGGATTATCACAAGATAAGGTAGGACAAGATGTTTCCCGACAGAATCTTATCCTTTCACTTTGATAACAGAACCGGTCACCATTTTCTATTTCTGGCAGATTCTCATTTTGAAAGTAGAGAATGCACTTTCTAAATCGGACAACTGCCTCTGAAATTAACGAAAGTATACTGAGTCAAGAGAAAGGTAATATCGGATTTGAGTTTGTTCACAACAGCTACCTAGAACTGTAAGCTAACTAATACCCCCGCTCCGATATAAACAAGATTTGTAAGCTAAAGGCTTAATAGAGCAAAGCAATATGGTCTCCCACCAATAACAAGTATTTCGCACAAAGGGGCATCACTCCACCCAAAAGGGTCGATATCCCAAATAAAAATGCCGGTCAACAACTATTTAAGAAACCGATCATTCATGCAAAGTTTCAATGAAATCCACCTGTTAGTTAGGCAGAAGTTGTACGGACAAGTATTTCGCACAATGGGACATTACTCCATCAAAAAGGGTCGAAACTCAAATTTAAAATGCCGGTGCACAACTACATAAGATTCCGATCATTCATGCAAAGTTTCCAGTTAGTTAAGGAGGAGTTTTCTGGATTCCAGTTTACCCCACTAACGTCGTTGCGGGAGTATAATAAAACATTCATACGTTACCGCAAAAACGAGAAGGATCCGAAGTGTTGAAATGAGGCTGAAGGGGTGCAAATCCTCCAGTCTGCAGTCCACTTCATCATTTCGCGCCAATGAAATTATTAAAGCCACAATCAACTTACCTACTACGAAAGTTGTATAAGAAATGACGACGACACAAGCGAGAACTAAGCCGACGATCCGTAACATGGTTGTTGTCACACTGTGTAAATAACGTCGATGTATTGAGGCCTCTCTCACTACTGTAGACTTCACTTAAATCATTCTCCGCAACGTTTTAACAAGTTGCTACAATAATCTGACATTAAAACAACAGGAAACGGCTGCCACATCTAGCAGAGGAAATGTTACAGCTCAATAATACAGCTGATAGATTAAATGTTATCAATATGGTATAATTATAGAGTATATTTTAACGATTTGGCTTACCAAGGTTGCATTTTTAGCGACGCCATTTCAGATAATTGATGATAATGTTTGACTGGAATTCGCTGGTTGTATTTATGTATTGTTAATGGTCCATCAAGTCTAATGTCATACCGACCAAACGATAGAGAACGAGTAAATAGTTCTAGATAATAGGTTCACTTCAAGCTACTTGATATAATATTCCAATTAATAAATACTTCTCAGTTGAATTATCATATGTTTAACACTGGCTAGCGTCATGTCACTTTTCTTTTGATTACGAAAATATTTGTATGAATATCATTACATGCCAAATCTTTCTTTCAGCTGAGTTTGTATTTCTGTCTCGACTTTCTTGACTATATAGCAGATTATCTTTTTGCATCTGGATTCCCGATACATCTTTTTCATAAGTGGAAATTTAATGTGATATGGTACATTTTGTTATTTCTCAACTGTTATTATCTTTGTGGCATTTTTTATGTCTTGACATATATTTAACGGCCCATCAACACAGGAGAGATTATTAAGGGTTATTTAATAGTCGAAAAAACAAAAGACAAATGTCAAAATAAAGTGGCAACTTTATATTTTGGAACGGACCACAGCTTGCAGGTAGTCGAATATTGTAGATATTTAGAACTTTTTACTTACTGAATGGCTACTATGCTCAGTGTTGAGGCTGGTCGTCACGTTTGTAAACAATATATTTAACTCAGTTTATGTTGTATACACAGTAAACAACTCAGGTTTTGACCTTCTTTGTGCGATTCTTTTAAGGTTCAAATTTGTTGCAAGTAAAAATCTGAATCTGGGGAAGACATAAATGTAATGTTCTTCTGAACGTTGTTTCTGAGAGCCATCCACTCCCCGTTTAATTTTTTTGATGAAAAAAAATGAATTAAATATCACAAGAAATGATAAATTCATCACTCAGGATTTCAAACAAATAATAAATTTAACACTCAGGATTTCAAAATACATGTTTATTTGAAATAATTAGTTACAGCACATATACTCGCCTCATTCCAGTCCCGACCGTTTATAACACAACGAAAAGAAAACGATACGCCACACCACATTAATAGATGTACATAAAGTATTATGTAATATAAACCGAGAAAAAGATATGACATTGTCCTTAGTGTTTCTTGAACACAGGTACTAGCACCATCTGTCAATACACCTATGATAAAAATAAATTTCTATTAATACTATAAATAAGTTTATATGATGGATGTATAAACAGACGAGGCTGGTACATGTACAATATTTTATTTACAAATATGCAGTACATATTATAATATTATACATAATGTTATGTTAGTGATCTGGTAACAAGAGTAGACTCTTATATTAAGCCATCTCCCAACAATGAGAAGATTGCAGTATAACACAAACAGGTTGAATAACATCAATACTCATATAAATTCAACTTATATGGCTAATTAAACAAACAAGGCCGACAATTAGAAATAATAGACAATAGGATCAGTAGTACAAAATAATGTAAATAATTGTATTACTTACTGACACTCTTGGAAGAAATTCTGACGCACAGACACATACATATATGCGTCACTGCCAGATAGGTTTATTGGAGAAATGTCATCTCTAGAACTTGGAGCAGAAAAATGGTAATCTCGCTTCATATCCATACCTAATAAAATAAGAACAAGAGGCCCAGGGGCCTTAATAGCTCACCTGGTATCTTCAATTTATAAATACTCCATTCCCTTTGCCCAAAGATTCTCTAGAACAAGTTTGGTTAGGTTAAAATCCCTTCAACGGTACAGAAGGAGAAGGATCTTTAATGTTTTCCTCTATTTCCCCTAATGGGCCCCACTCATCTGCCCCAACGAAGGGGATCCACACACCTTAGTTTAAACAAAGTTGATTATTTTTCTCCCTAAGCATGCTTCTGACTGCAGTTGGTTTAAATCCCTTCACTTGTATAGCAGGAGAAAAAAAAATCCTCTATTTCCCCTATTGGGCCCTACCCCTTCGTTTATACAAAGTCTCCTTTGTCCAAAGATGCTATAGGACAAATTGGGTCAACATCCTTCTATTGGTTGAGAAGAAGAAGATTTTGAAAGATTTACCTATTTCCCTCTATTTGGCCTCGCTCCTCTGCCCCCAGGGGGACCATACCCTCCGTTTATACAAAACTGAGAACCCTTTGGCCAATGATGTTTCAGACCAAATTTGGTCAAAATACTCTGAGCCGTTCAGGACAAGTAGCGTTCTAAAGGAAACAGTTGACGGACGACGGACGCTGTGGCATGGGATAAGCTCACTTGGTCTTTCGGGCCAGGTGAGCTAAAAACAAGTTTCGAAAACTTAATTCATATTCTGAGTGACACAAGTTTGTTAATTAACAGTAAGTTGATCATTTTATTGTCTTTTTATATGATTAGCTAAGAAAGATATGATATGGATTGGGATGCATCCAATTCTTAGATTCAATATAGTTTTAATTTTGGGAGATATTTGCATGATGATACACACATTAATGGTTTCGTCCATTAAACACTTGAAATGTATGGTATGTATTTTTTACAATGCATATGGTTACGTATATATTATCACAGTATACACATGTTCTTATATACCTTGATATAAACTACCACTTTCTCCAGATGCTTCTACTTTATAGGACTTTTTTGTTTTCCAAGTCTACCATTGTATCCGAGGAACTGCATCATATTTCAGAAAATGTCCCCTCACATTCTTCAGATGGTGCACGCTAATATTGGTGATGTACTGACACAATCGACTTGCAAACACGTGTCTAATTGTGTTTTGAAACTGGTAGTCACAGTGTAGAGTCTGCATCATTTCCCCCAACACGCATGAAGCTGGCATGATTACTGTTTGCAGTAAAGTAGTGACTGAACTAATTGTCTTGCTCTGCAGCTATCACACTATCACATCAAACTTCATAACAATTAGGTAAAAAAGTTGAGTTAGAGTTTTAAACGCATCAATCTCTCTGTCCTCTTCCGGGGAACAACATTCCGCTTCGATATTTAAGTCGATTTGATAAATTAATGACATTCAAAGTGTATGATATTGTTTAAATTATTAAGACACAGTTTTCTAGCTTTAGTGCACATAGTGTATGTATATGTTTTTGAAGTATTATAAGTTATATATACATTCTTGAATAAAAAGTGAGATTTCCGTTTTCGCGCGAAGCTGCCAGAAATTCCGCTTTCTTTCCTTTACATTGGCTAAAAGTTAAGAGCAGTTCTCTAAACGACAAGCATATGCCTTTCTGAGCCTGCAGGGGTATTTGACATACTTGTTTTTCTAATATACTGAGTAAATATAAAATTTCATGAGTTTGTGCTTGAGACCAAAATTTATCTGCTTCCACTTTACAGCTCTTGGTATCTGTCTTTTCATTTCTCTTTTGCCTAAACTTGTCTTTGATCAGATAGAAGTAGAAAGAAAGATCCAAAGTGTTGCAATTGGTGCAGCAGATTTTTGTGGTCGCTTTGGTGTCCCTAACTAGACGGCACAAAAGTAAATCCGCATCGCCTTGTCTAGCACACTGATCAACACCCAAATACCCCAGTTCTGTCATAGCACAGTGTACCGTGTATCGATGTAAGTAGCCAAATGAGCAAAATCATTTAACAAACTTAAAATGTTCATTGTGTGAAGTCTTACACTCTGGGCGAGACTGTCGGTGTACTTTCGGTATCATAGGTCTACTCCAGTACAGCGACTGTCAAAAGCTAAGGTTATTTAAGGACGTGCCTCCATGTGTGTTGTGTATGTGTGCTTGTGTATGTGTATTTGAAAGCAACCAAAATCAATCTGCTTCACCAATTGCAATAGTTGGGATATTTATATTTCTTTTTACTTCTAACTACCTTTTATTTCCTTACGACTTGCTGGACAATACCTTACCTTTGGCTTTAATGTTGAACATTCGCCCAGGTTAGGAAGGTAATAGATTTATGTGCATAGAAATTATATTGAAAGGTTTTTGAGATATGGTTTGCCAACTATAATTTGCGTTTTTGGCCAATTGTTTTCTATGGTAGCAGAAAAATACCTCAAATGAAAGCATATTAAAAGTAAAAGGCAGTATTTAACAATTTTACATGTAAATAATATAGAAAGTTTTATGAAGGTATCTCGATCTGTTTTTGAGATATGCTCCGGAAACAACGAATTTCGCATGTCTGGAAATGTGTTTCTCCGATAACAAGAAATATATCAAAAATGAAATTACTCTAATACCAAAAGCCATTTCTTGACAACTAGATTCATGTTATAAGAAAGTTTTGAAAAATAATCTCTTTGCAACATAGAAAGATTCATAAAGGTATCACTAGGCTAGTTTAATGGTGTGCATACAAAGTTTTATGAAGTTGTTTGAACGGTTTTTTAGTAATTGCCCTGAAACACTTCCGGTTGGACGGACAGACGGACGTTTGTATGACCACCGTCAACTTCAATGAATTTACTTTGGTTTTATTTTGTTCAACGTTCTATTTACAGCTAAGTTCATTTAAGAACATGCTTCCATGTGAGTCGTGTATCTGTATGTATGCTGGAGACAGGGTATTTTGGTGTATTTGCCTCCTCGTGATAGCGCGGATCTGATGCTGACGTTATAGTGCTATAAATATATCTTACTGAAATACCTTACTAAAGGCATTCCACTCGGTAACATTATGGCTGGGGATAATGAAATAGCAGAAATAAAAGTCGAGACTACATAATCTAGTTATTCTCAAGCTGAATGATTATAAACATTTGGGTTATTTGATATTTGATTGAAAAAAAACCTGTGTATCAAATCTACTAGTCTAATGAAGGATATCCGAGTAAGCGGAGGATGGGGAAAAGAATCTAGCCATGAACCAAATGAATGAAGGCAGGAGAGCGATGACAAGAAAAAGTTAACGGGCGGACGGACGGACAGGCAACGCAGCACATACAATAATACGACCCGTCGTCCAAGACAAGCGTACACAAACTAAATAGGCATCAACCAGGTCGTCAAATGTATGGAATATCTGATTTTGATATGATAAATTTGTAGTCTTCTTTTATCCCTGATCGGTCGTTCCGTCTACAAAGAGTTCAAACTATGCCCAGGTATACATAATTGCATTCTCTGATCGGTCGTCAGAGTGAATTCGATCCATGTGCATGCTCGACAGTAACATTTCTTGTTGTACCTCTCCAGCGCTGTATATGTTGTATTTCAAAGACAATTCCCAATTGTGTTCGGAATTAATCTTAACTGAATTGGCATACCAACTAACTACATACCGCAAAGGTATACAAACAAAAGAAATATAACATTTTTCACGCAATTTATTAGAATACTCATAGCAAAAGCGACAATCAGAAATAAACAAACAGAAATTTTCCTCGCAATGGACATTCGAACCCTTGCATCACTGAGCTTTCCACTGCGATACAAGGCAAAGTATCTGTTATGTTAATGAGGTATTGTTAAGCAAAGCGATAGGAAACATAACGTTTGTTACAAATAGAAATGTTAAACCTAAATGTTGCAATGGGTGCAGCATAAATTAGTTTGCCTTCGCTTTGCCTCCGAAGTATTGGTATAAACTCAAAACAGTAGTTACTTCTCTCAATATGTAGTGGGTAGCAGCGATATATTACTTTCTCAAATCTTGACCGAAGGAACATTTCAAAGATGAGATGTGTCCCTTTACCTGAACTGTTTTAACTTCATGGACATGTCAAAAATCGATCAATTACGAATAGTTAGTTTGAGGTTTAACGTCCACGCAATATGATAACGGTGCATGTAGGGTCCAGTACGGTTAATACGGACGACAGATAAATGCAATCTTAACTGAACTCATAATTCATTTTAACTCTCCTAACTAGCCTGCTAGACTGACTTGTATGCATGCTACCGCAACGTATGTTTACACATCGCGCTTTCTGTCAAGTCCCGGATGTTAGCGCCGAGATTCTATTTAGTTTTCAAAATGCCAAAGAAATATACCCCGAAATCTAGATAGGCAAAACATCATTTTGAAGATATGGAGAAGGCGATAGCGGCAGTGAGAGGAGGAATTTCAGTGAGGCAGGCGTCCCCTTAACTTCAGTATTCCTAATTCGACAATGGGGGATTAAATATCAGGTGAAACCCATGCAAAGGTTGGTCGGAAACCTGTACTACCATTTGATTTAGCGACCAAAATAGTAAATCTTACCAGGATAAGTGCAGGGGAAAGGATTTGGGATGTCCCGATCAAAATTATTCAATAGAAAATGCCAACTTAGTCGTTCTGCAAAAATATCAGGCTTCAAGAATATAACTATTTTTTACATGTATGGAATTACACGAAAAAACCCATAACACGCTGGCATTGAGGAAACCGGAAAAACTGGGTACTGCAAGAGCATACATGATGAATAACGTAGTTGTTGAAAAGTTCTTTAAGGACTTTAATTGCATTATAAAACTCTTAATTTGAAAAACAAACATGCTGCCATTTTGAATGCAGACGAGATGGGGAAGCACTGTGAAGGTTGTTGCTGGTAACCGGACGACGAGTGTCATTGGCAGGACCAGCAACAAAAGGTCGAACACTACAACTATAGCGTGCTACAACACACATTCCGCCCGGTCACATAATACTGACAACGGGTATAACAAGAAGGAGGCGCCAGTTGGAACCTGTTGGTCTTTTCAGGATGAACAATAACATATATGAACAAAGGTTCCGAGAGGTATTCCTGGTTAACTGTTGGGGTAGACCCAAAATATTGATGTTGGACGACCGTGATTCACATGAAACGCAAGTTTCATTGATGTTGGCAAAAGAGGAAAATAAACACATTTGGCTCTACCCCCGCACACCACTCATTATCTGAAGACACTAGACAGACCAGTCTGTGGTCCGCGCAATCTCAAGGAGGCAAATACACAATCATCTCTCTGCAGCACACATACACACATACATTACACACATGATTAACTAGTTACCTGTCTCTTTTTAACGTATTTTGGAGGCGGTATATCAGTGTATTATAATCTGCGACCAGGCTGATCTGATGCTGAATTTAGAGCGATATCTCGCTGAAATACCGTGCCAAAGATATAAAAGTAAAAGTTAATACTCACCTGGGCAAAACCGGCAGTTACTGAATGTTGAGGGTGGCTGTGGACTATCACAAGATAGGTCCGGACAAGATGTATTCCGACAAATTTGAACCCTTTGACTTTGGAAACATAATCGGTCACCATTTTCTATACCTGGCAGATTCTCATTCGCGAAATAAAGAGTGCACTTCCTAAATTGGCCACTTGCCCCTAAAAATAAAAATGTAAAAAGTCAAAACAAAGGTAATTTTGGTGTTAAGTTGGTTCACAACAGCTCATTAGAAAATATACAAAACGTGTTACCGCAAAAAACGAGAAGGATCCGAAGTGTTGAAATGGTGCAACAGAGGAGAGAAACCTCCTGTCTGCAGCCCTCTCCATCATTACGCACCTATGACAGTATTGAATCGACAATAAACTTATCTACTGCGAAAGCTGTATAAGAAATGACGACGACGCAAGCGAAAACTAAGCCGACTATCCGTAACATGGTTGTCCTCACACTGTGTAAATAACGTTGATGTTGGAATGCCTCTACCACTTCTGTAGCCTTCACTTAAATAGTTCTCCGTAACATTTTAACTAATTGCTAAAATAATCTGACATTACAACAATAGGAAACAGCTACCACATCAAGAGAAGGACATTTATTAACTAATATCAAAGTCGTATAATTATTATTTTGTCTTTTTAACGATTGCACTTTCTAAGGTTGTTTGTCTAGCGGAGCGATTTCAGATAATATACATCAATGTATGACTGGAATTAACTGGTTGTATTGATATATTCTTAATGGTCTATCAACTCTAATGTGATACCGACCACACAATAGAAAACGAGTAAATCGTTGTAGATTGTAGTTTCACTTTGAGCTATTTTATATAATTTTCCAATGAACTAATACTTTACGTGTAATGTTGAACTTGAATCGTCACATGCTACACACAGATTGGCGTCATATCCACAAAGTTCTCTTCTACTCTTAGATAATTGATTCACTTCAAGCTATTTTATAAAAATTTCCAATTAATAAATACTTTTCAGTTGAATGATCACATGTTAAACACTGGCTGGCGTCATATCTTCTAACAGTACGGCGCGTTCAGGTGATTACGTAATATTTATATGAATACCATCACATGGCAAATCTTTCCTCCATCTGGGTTTGAATTTCTCTCTCGACTTTCGTGAATATAATGCAGATTAATCACTTGCATCTGGATTCCCGAGACAGTTTGTGGTGATTCTACAGATTGCCTCCTTAGCAGTTCCGAAGTCTTCACATAGACTCTCACAGATATTATTAATATTACTACATACTAAACGGCCTATCATGGTAATGTTGAAAAATCTCTTGGAACATACCAACAGCTTTCAGATGGTTTAAAATTGTAGACATTTCCTGTTTCGGATAGAGATTTAAGACATGCAATATTACTATAGACTCGTTTTCGTGTTTGATAAAGTAAGAACAATTTAATAACGAACGTTTTACTTAATTGCTCTTGACATGCTCACTGTTGGGCTGGTCGTCACTTTTGTAGGCAATGTTTAACCCAGTTTTTGTTGTACATAAATTACCCAATTCAAGTGATTTATCTTCTTTATGCGACCCATGAAAGATTGAAATTTGTGGAAAACATCTGTCCTGAGTGGCATAAAAAGAATGTGGGGAAGAATGTAATGATCTTTAACATGTTGTTGTGCTGGCAAGAAAACGAGACGGCAGCCTCAGGATGTGTATTGATTACCGCCAGTTAAACGCTAAATCGATTCGTGACAGTTACGCGCTTCCTAGAATTGAGGAGATTATCGACTCCCTCCATGGCTCTAAGTATTTCACCGTTTTAGACATGAAAAGGGGATACCATCAGGTTGAGATTCTGGATGAGCACAAGTCAAGGACGGCCTTCACGGTTGGACCCCTAGGTTTGTGGGAATATAATCGAATGCCTTTTGGTTTGATCAACGCACCAGCAACCTATCAGCGCCTAATGGAGGAATGCCTTGGAGAGTATATTGGATCCATCTGTTATATTTACATTGATGACTTGATAATTTTCTCGGAGAACTATGAGGAACACCTTGAACGACTAGGGAAAGTGCTTCTGAGACTTCGGGAACATGGACTGAAGCTGTCACCAAGGAAGTGTTCCCTATTCCAGTCGAAAGCCAAGTATTTAGGGTTCATTGTGTCAGGTGATGGAGTTGCAGTGGATCCAGAGAAGACGGAGAAAGTCATGGAAAACACCGAGTAACCCGGATGAGTTAAGAAGTTTTATCGGATTCATAGGGTATTACAGGAAATTTGTGAAGAATTTTTCTGCCATTGCAAAGCCGCTTCGCGATCTCCTACCGGGTACACGGTCGTCTAAGAAGAAAGGAAAAAAGAAGTCGGAGAGTGAGGGTACTGATGTTCCTTGGCATTGGGGTAAAGACCAAGAGGAAGCATTTAACACTTTGAAGAAGTTGACAACTCCGCCCATTCTTGGATATCCAGACCCGAGCTTGCCTTATAAGGTTCATACTGATGCCAGTGGGAAAGCTTTGGGAGCTGTTTTATACCAGGAGCAAGACAACAGGAAAGTCGTTATCAGCTATGCCAGCAGAGGACTTAGTCGTGCAGAAAGAAACTATCCAGCGCACAAGCTGGAGTTTCTAGCATTAAAGTGGGCAATTACGGATAAATTTCACGATTATTTGTAAGGTTCAAAGTTCATAGTGTTGACCGACAATAATCCTCTCACATACGTGTTGTCTACTGCGAAGCTGGATGCGACTGGACATAGGTGGCTTGCGGTGTTGGCGTTGTATAATTTCACGATTAAGTACCGTCCAGGACGTAATAATGCTGACGCAGATGCGCTTTCTAGGATGGAGACCGATGATGATGAGCCAGAAGAGGAACTTATACCAGAGTCCATTAAGGCTATCTGTTCCAGAATACAGACTCGCTGTAGAGCAGAGGTCGTTACATCAGATCCTTTGGGTGATCTTGATGACTTAGATACCGACAGTATGGAAAATATGAGCCAACGACAATGGAGGAGTGTCCAGACACAAGACCAGTCTCTCAGACCATACATCATCTCCCTCCGGGAGTGTAAGAAGCCACACAGACGGAATTTGTCTCTGGACCAGGCTAAGTTGTTGAGGTACTTCGACAACTTAGTTTTGGACCAGGGTGTGCTATACCGCACTACGAAGAATAATGGTGAGACTATTCGACAGCGCGTGCTTCCGTCGGTGCTTGTTAACAAAGTGTTACACTATTTCCATGATTCTGTGGGACATCCAGGCAGAGACAGGACATTGTCTTTGGTTCAGGATAGGTTTTTTTGGCCTTGGATGACAAAGGATGTGGATTCGTGGATACAGAAGTGTCATCGATGCATTCGTCGGAAGACGTCATGTTCTACTCCGCGAACACCATTAGTGACCATTGTGTCTACCCAGCCACTGGAGATCATTTGTGTTGATTTTTTATCTTTGGAAACTTCAAAAGGTGGATTCCAATATGTGCTTGTGTTGACGGACCATTTCACAAGATACGCGCAGGCTTATCCAACGCGCAACATGACAGCAAAAACAACAGCGGAAGTGTTATTCAATAATTTCTTCGTGCACTACGGTTTTCCCTTGCGCTTACATTCAGACCAGGGTGCCAACTTTGTTGGCAATATCATTCAACATTTGTGTCAGATCGCGGGGAAAAAGAAGTCCAGGACAACGCCGTACCATCCGATGTGCAACGGTATGTGTGAACGGTTTAATCGCACATTACTCGATATGTTGGGAACACTAGAACCAAACGAGAAGGCGGATTGGATGCAACACATAGGACCTCTAGTTCACGCGTATAATTGTACTCGACAAGATAGCACAGAACATACGCCATTCCTCCTTATGTTCGGGAGACATCCAAGACTGCCAGCCGATCTAGTGTTTGGGATTGACCGTTCTCATGGAGGCAAGGTCACCAGCTATTCCAAATATGTGGACTGCCTTCGTGAAAGGTTGAAGTCATCGTATAAGTGTGCAGCGGAGGCGTCCATTCGTTCAAAGGATCGACAGAAGAAGAATTACGACAGTCGCGTCAGAGGATCTTCCATTCAGACGGGAGACTGTGTGTTAGTGAAAATTCTTGCTCATGAAGGTCGCCACAAACTAGCCGACAAATGGGAGGAAGACACCTACATTGTGTTAGACCAGCCAAACAATGATGTGCCTGTGTTCACTGTTAAACGGGAAAGTGGTGAAGGGAGGACCCGAACATTACACAGGAATCTACTCTTACCCATCTCCAGTGTGCCACCAGCTGAGAAAGCTGGAGAAGTCAACACACCCAAGAAAACTACAAAAAAAAGACAGGACTAAGAGGTCAACGGAGAAAGTGCCAGAGGATGAATCCTCAAGTGACAGTAGTACAGAATTTGAGGACGATTCATTTCAGGTGTATGTCACTCCATCGGTTAAGGTCCCGCGTGCCCCATCCAGCACCACAGAGAGGTCTATAGCCGAGGGGAGTGAAGTCGTTTCCGAACTCACTGATGACGATCAAGATTATGTTGCGGAGACAGGAGATGATGGTGACATTGGTGACGACCAAGCATCCATTGCGGATGAAAATGATACCATATATCAGGATGATTCTCATGAGCTGCCGGATCATGTAGAGGCAGTGGTGTCTGATCACGACACCGATACAGAGGATCAGCGTGTTGTTGTAAATAGACCAGTTCCTGTGCCTAGGAAATCGGAAAGGAAGAAAGAACCCCCAAAGTGGCAGAGAACCGGAGAGTATGTTATGTGTCAAGTTCCTGCTACTCAAGATCCGGATTGGCTGCTACGGGCACAGTATATAGCGGAACTTGTGCGTACTGGTGCAATTCGGGACATGCCGGAGTGTGCTAGATTAGCAGTGTTATCCGTAATTAGCGGCAAATGACGTGGAAGTCATTTTATTTTCAACAGGGGGGATAATGTGACAGGGGGTATTTAATGTATTTTGTATATGTAAATCATCTGGTATGGACCAGGACATGTCTGATTATGTCAGAAATGCAGATTTTATATTGTCTGAAATGGATCAGATCATTGTGTATTGTGTAATTATTATGTAAGATATTTTAATAGATTTGACATGGGTCATCACATAATTGATAACTTTCAATTATATCCATAACAAATAGAGAACATATATACCTTTAATATATCTTGTATGTTAGGTTATGTAGTAGATAACAAATATAGTGTCACTGCCCGGTTTAGGACTAGCTACTGGACATGAGTAGTGTTAGGGTATACCTTGACAAGTGACTTGTGACATGGACCGATACGATTGGTTGGATTCCATCTGGTAAAGCATGTTTTTAGCTGTGAGCTGTAAGTCAGAGAGTTGGACATTAGATACCCGGGTATGGAGGTAGGAAGAAAGAGAAAGAGACAAGCACTGATTGTAGTATTTTGGTAAGTTAGTTTTAATCCTTCTAGCTAATTCTAATATAAATG